GGTGCTGGTGCCGTGGTTGTCCCCCGCTGCCGCCGCCGGCGCTCTGGGCTCTTTGGGGGGCGCAGGGCTGGGCGCGGATGGTGGAAAGCGAGAGAAAAAGGCTCCCGAAGATCAGGGGATAAAAGTGTCCGGGGGCCAGGTCCAGGGCAAAACGCAGTCAGCCATTCAGGAAACCAGTCTTGGGAAACGCGCTCGAGGAGGGATGGAAGATTAGACAGTTTGATGTTGTTGTTGCTGTTGGTGGTTGTTTCTCTCTCTCTCTCTCTCTTTCTCAAAGAAATACAAAAGCAATTGGATGTGACTAATTCGCAGCGGAGACGAATTCACGACGAAGAGTAAAAAAATAAATAGAGGATGAATAATAATGGCACAGGCAGAAAACGAGAGATCCAAAGTAGGTCGAATAAATAAATCCTCTTCTTTCCCTCTTTCTTGCCCCTTCCGTCTTCTTCGGTGATAACACACGGGGCTAGTTACAAAAATCACTGGAGATCGCCGAAAAATGTTCTCTGTTTTTGGTTAAAAAAGTATTTCAGATAAAAACTCATCAGCCAGGACCAAAACCTCCCCCAAAATAAAAAAAAGACAATAATAGTAAAAAAAAAAAAATAACGATGATGTATTAAGATATGAAAGCGTCCTCTCTCTCTCTCTCTCTCTCTCTCTCTGGGTTTCTTCTTTTTCCTTTTTCTCCTTTTTAATTTTTTTTTAGTTTCACCTCTCTCTTCTCCTGCAGGAATGAAGCGAAAGACACTAAGAGGAAGGGTGAAAAAAAAAGAAGAAAAGGAAGAAGAGGGAGCTGAAGAAAAAAACTAATAGAATATGCAAGAAAGGGGGGAGAGAGAGAGAAAGAAAGAGAGAGAGAGAGAGAGAGGGAGAGAGAGAGAGAGACCCAAAAAATGAATGCGTTTAAACGGGAAGACTAGCAGAGCAATGTTTCCGAAAGGGGGATCTGCGCGAATGTCTGTATATAGTGAACTTTGACACTACTATTGAAACTGACACGTTTCTATGGAGATCGCTGCCTTATATGGAGCTCATGTCAAGGAGCCAAGAGAGGGGCTGCTGGCAACTGATAATCAAAGGCGACTGACTGGTCAGAGCCCTGAATTGGGGGGAGAGAAAATGGGAGGCTAAGGTTAGCCAAGCCTCCTTCACGCCATTGGTTAAGAGGCCCCCCTCTTTTTTTTTAATTCTCTGCTACCTACTGACTGGGTTGGGGAATGAGGGAGGGGGGAGAGAAGGGGAATCTTCTGACAAGCACAATTTACATTGAGATCGCCCTGCGCTGCTATTTACTTTGAGACCTGATTAGTATGGGTCGTCTATGGTCATACACACTCACACACGCACACACATCAAAAGGACGGGGAAAGGGGGAGGGGAGGGGAGATGCATTGCGATAGGGGGAAAGAGGAATTAAAAGAAAATTATTTTGGCTCACGCAGAAAAGTAAGTTTTTTTGGGGGGGTTATTATTTAGATTGCTGTATTTAGATTGCTGTATGTTTCCAATTGAAACCCCCCTCTATTAAGTATTTTAATTGCTGAAAGTAAATATGCTTTGTATAATAAGCGATATAATACATATTGGAAAACGCAAATATATATTTATATATGTATATGTTCAATTTTGCTTTTTTCCTCCCATTTATTACCTAAAATATTCTTCCTCTTTTGATATTTTTAATTACGCTCAGTGACACTGGTGGAATTCTCGGTGTCGTAAAATGAGATCAGAAACCAACACTTTCCCCTGGACGGGTTATTATTAATTATGATGATGATTACACTTTCCAGCAGTGCTCCTTTCCAAGGCTGTTTAAACAGCCAGCAATGCTTCAATAATTATTAATAAAACACAAGTAAGTTCTCGTTTTGTTGTCTGGGAAGATCAATGCTTGTAAACGAAAGTCCCAGGAAGAGGGAGAGAGAGAGAGAGAGAGAGAGAGAGAGTGAAGGTTGGAGTATGTGCATGGGGAGGAGGAGGGGTTTGCTCTCTCTCTCTCTTCCAAATGTCTAGTAGAGGAATCGCTGGATCCGGCTGCCATCTAGCGGTCAGGAACCGAGCTTAGTAGCTGCAGCCAGCAAAGTCCTCAGTTCCCCCCTTCCTCCTCAGTGCACAAAGCCCGTGCCTTTTCTAAAGCAGCAGGAAGCCACAAAATGTTCTCATGACTTTTATTTTCTTTTTAAAGAAGCTGCTTTGGAAAGCAAGGAACCTTCTTCTCTTTTCAACGGCACACCTCTTCTAGCCTCCTGTCTCCCATCCCTTCTTCTCTGCAACGTCCCCTTAAGTGCCCTCTTTTAAATGCACTTTGGGTCGAATGTCTGTCTGTGGCAAAAAAGAAAACAACAACAACAACCCCCCCCCCCACCTTCCTGGGCTCCCCTTAGCTCACATCAAAGTTTTAAATCAGTTTGGAAACCAAGCAAAACCTGCAAGAAAAGGGAATGCGAAATATTAGGAAGCTTTTTAATACGATTTTCTATTCATTAACAAAACAAGCACCTTAGATGTGCTTCGATAATGGGTTTATTTTCCTGTCAAGCCCACAGATGTAAGATTTTGAACAAGTTTGAGCGGATGATTTCTAAAATCAGAATAAACGGGTTGTTTTGTCCTGAAATAATGAAGAGATTTTCAATGAGTCCCCTGGCCAAGCCGCCCCTATTGTATATTGCATTGATAAAAAGGATGTTATTGACTATGCAACAGTGGACTCCTTTCCTCTCTCTCCCTCTTTCCAAATAAACTCTCGCTCCTTGCTCCTGGTCAGTGAAAAGGTGAAACGAATACGATTAAATCAGACAAAAAAAGCAGGCTCTGTATGTATATCATCTAGATTTTACTCCCCAGACTGTGAAGAGACAAGGAGTAAAAGAGGCAGAGCAAGGCACAGAGAGGGAGAGAGACAGAGAGAGAGAGAGAGAGGGAGAGAGAGAGCCAGAGAGAAGGTGGACGGACCGAGCAGTTTGTGCTTGCTCCTTCTTGAAAAGATTTCCTCGGAGCCTGGATCGCTTCAGCTGGCACCCAGAACCGCGGTCAAAGCAGGCTTCACCAGGCAAGTACTGCTTTTTTTCTATTCTGTGTTTCTAGTGGGGTTAACATGGGAAGCAGCGTCTGTCTACATTTCATTGGAAACCCACTGTGATGGAGTTATAGTAAAGGAGTACTTTGCAAGGATAACTTTTGCTTCTAGCATTCAGGCTGCTTTCCGAGACTCGTCAAACAGCCCAACTTGAGAACATGGCCCGTTATTTCGGCATTTCACACATATTGAATCTGATTATAGGAATTATAGATGGGAGGTATGCAGAGCCTTCAGTTTTTAGCTTTTTCTTATGAGCCCAGTTTCTCCATTCAACACACAGATACAGAGATATGTGCTTGTATCTATATACACTTTCCTTAGTAAGGTAACACGCTTACGTTTACCTTTGTGTATCTACGGAAATATTATAGACCCAACTGACGCATAAACACCCCTTCCACATAATTATTGAATAGAACTTTTACTTCCAATAATGTTGCTAGGATCCCTGCTACAGAAATGCAAGCATACTAATGCTCCTGTTTTTCACCTGCTCTGTTTGTTATTTGATCACCTAATGAAAAGATCGATGGCAACTTGTTTATCTGGGAGATAATGTCAACATATTAAAGGGGCAGCAGCAATCAGCTCCCACTGACCTGGGGAACAGACTACAATACGAAGAAAGCAAAAAGCAATTCAAATTGCTCTGATCCAGAGGTGTATTTGCACTCCACTGTAGTTGCGCGGACGGTGATGATCATTTTCTTAGAAAGAATCAGTTACCTGTATGTTCTAAAAGCAGATAGTATCAGGAACTGGGTAACCTACGTGAATGCGGTTTTGATTCCCGACGAAAGTCCCAGTTCCTCTGAACCGTTGTGTGAGTGCTGGGAAGTAGACTGAGCAGCTGAACTGGGGAAGCAGCCCAATGCCTATCTGATGCCTAGGTAAAAACAAGAGTCCCTTGACAAGATGCATTTCCACCCCCGACAAATTACAATAAGACTTAAAAAGGGTGACAACGTAAATGTAATTTGGAGATGAACTTTTACTATTTCTTAATTTGACCTCTGGGACCTACCAACTGGCCAGAACAGACCACGATAACAACCGTGCTAAGCTAGGACTTTCTCAGACTTAACCTTCTTTTGGCATATTAGAATTTACGTTCATAAGATGAGAACACAGTATGATATGTTTCAGTTTGTTGTTGTGTGTTATTCTGGTGAAACGCAAAAGTGAACTGGGTTTTACTTTCTTCTTTTGCTTCTGTCTACACTCTTGTACCTTCCGGAAACAGAAGTTTATTATC